GGTTATAAAAAATAACAAATTTAGAAAGAGCATATTGAGGAATACAAGAAAAAGTACATTGTCACTTAATTTGTTTCTTGAGAATAATGTTTAAGAATGCTCACATTGATTGTCATGTCGGAATTAGCTTAATATCGTAATGAATAGTTATGAATATAATTATAAATCTTTCAAATGGACATTGAAAACCATGGTGTTTTGGTTGACGAACACCTCATTAGCCATTACTAAGGGTCTCAACAGTGTTTTAAAACAGGTCAGTTTTAGCTCAGACTTACTAAGTGTTCGTGCATGTTTTCTTAGCACATGCTAACGTTTTGAACCTCCTAGCTCATGTTAAGGAGCTGTGTGCGAACACAACTCATGTCCTAAATCCTTACCCGTTGATGTGAAAATAAAATGTTTGTATTTTTTCTTTTATAGGAATACAAAACCTACAAAGATTCTACTATGAAAAAATTTGAATTGACGCATCTACCAAGATATCTCTTGCTTTGCATCAAGCGCTTCACAAAAAATATATTTTTTGTGGAAAAAAATCCAACCATTGTGAATTTTCCAGTCAAGTAAGTTAACCTGCCTAATATTGAGATATTAAATTGAGAAGTAAATCTAAAACATAATGACTGACAGTATTCAGCTCCTCAGAAATTCAAACCACTGACGGTAAAAATGTACATGCTAATTTGCATAACATTTGCATATTATTTGCACTTGGCAAGATGAGGGATGTTTTAATATAGCTTATGGTTTCACTTGACAGGTTTTAACCTTTGATCCTGTCTGTGCAACCATAATACACCTTGGGTGATTCACATCGTTGATATTGTTTCGGTCTTCAGTCGTCCATCAATGAAGTTTTCCACCACTAGAGGGCGTAATTTATAGGAATGGTGGATTGTTTTCATTTTATTTACTTTGGCTGCCAGCACCATTATTACAATTTGGTCAAAAGAAGAAATATTGTGCCATAATCTAAATATTATTCAATTCACTAAAAATAACTTATAATTATGTTCAATTTCATATTGTTCAATTTACTAAAAATAACTTATTATTATGTTTAATTTTTAAAAAATCCTTTATTTCAGGAATGTAGATTTTAGAGAATTCTTATGCAAAGATCCAGAAATACAGAAAAAACACAAGTACACTACCTATGACTTGATGGCTAATATTGTCCATGAAGGGGAACCAAGTAAAGGAACATTTAGAGCTCATGTATTACACAAGGTAAAACACCTTTTACTTGTTTCACCAGACTACTACTGGTAAGAGCGAAAACTTCAATGTTTGGTTGAGTGTCATTGAACCATTTGATTGTCACAGTTACCTGTAGCCCAATTTAATATTACTACTAATTTATATTCAATATTATTAATTCAATAGCAGAAGTAATTCACTCCCCAGCTTCTAGGATAAAACACCATGCTATACTGGGCAAATATGATATTGCCACAATAGATGATTTTCCATTCAACTGCGAGATCTCG